GGCGGTGAATCAAGACTTCCCCTTCGTCTGAAATTAACACCTGGCTCATATAACAACTAGATTTGTCCAGCTCACTAAATCCCAAACCGACAAAAATTCCTCTTCTGGCAGCAAGTTTTCTTATTTCAATCATCTCGGGACCATAGGCAGATATAGAATTATTGATGTAATTACCATTTTGCTTTTTGTTTTGTTTGAAGTTGCCAGTCCAGATATAGTTGGGGTAGCCAGGTATCCAAACTTCCGGGAAAGCCACCAGAGAAGCTCCGTTATCTGCTGCCTCATCGATCAGCATCAACGTCTTCTCGACAGATTTTTTTTTGTCGAACCAGCATGGCTCAGATTGCACAACAGCAGCTTTCCATTGACGTAATGACATTTTACTTGTTGTTTCACTTGATGAAAATTTTTGAAAGAAAGAACGGGAGTTTCCATACGTAGATATATAGCTGTAGATAAGTGCAGCACCATCTAAGCCAAATAACGCTTTGCGCTATATTCGAAGAGTCGTAGTCCTCAAACGATGACAACGGCGCAATTTCTTTTGGAATCACAAACACAGAGAGCTGACTTACATTCGGCTCCAAGATAATAGCACCAGATAAGAAAGGTTGTGCTTGGAGTTGCCTCTTTGGAACATGCATCAATGCGTGCGTGCTCATCGCTTATAGCGTCTAGATTCGGTTTCTTAAAAATAAGTGCGCCAGATAAAAGATAGTGTAAGGCGTGTAATTTTTTAACAAAGTTCTTCGGATTACCAGGCCGCTTACCTATGATTGAGTTAATTACCACAAACTGATACAAATGATACTCGCTGCTCCGAAGTTCCTAAAGGGGACCGCTAGCTCCGGAATCAAGCTCCTGAAAGTACAGCCAGAACGAAATGGATGTCTTGTGCTGTCGTAAAAAAATTCAGTTGGCGAAAAGTCGCAATAAAACAAAGCAAGAATAGAGTAGCCAAAGTGAGCATTGATAGTTTACTGGATTTTAAGAGAAAAGAGAATATTGTACAATTATTGATGCGTGAAAACACTTTTTAATCTTATGCGTTTCTATCAATTCAAGCAAAGCTGAAGCTTACGAAGTTTCTCTACAGCATTTCCTTTCGATGGCTAATTCAAAAACGCTGCTGTTAGAATTGTAATACCTTTAAATTCTAGGGTTGAGACGATAGAACCTCCGCAAATGTACTATGAGTTTGAATCAGAGGGGTCGGATCCCTGTGC